GAATGCCCGGAGCCAACTGTGGGCCACTCCGTGATCTTCGTGTTCCCAGAACAGCAGTCCTGTGCCATATTTTGAATGCCCGAGCTGAGGCAGCCTGAGGCCGAGGCAGGCTGAGGCCGAGGCTGAGGCTGAGGCTGAGGCTGAGGCAGGCTGAGGCCTGAGGCAGGCTGAGGCTGAGGCTGAGGCAGGCTGAGGCTGAGGCAGGCTGAGGCTGAGGCTGAGGCAGGCTGAGGCTGAGGCTGAGGCTGAGCTGAGGCTGAGGCAGGCTGAGGCTGAGGCTGAGGCTGCTGGCTGAGGCTGATGCAGGCTGAGGCTCAGAGGCTGACGCTGAGGCTGAGGCAGGCTGAGGCTGAGGCTGAGGCCGAGGCAGGCTGAGGCTGAGGCTGAGGCAAGCCGAGTCAGGCTGAGGCTGAGAGGCTGAGGCTGAGGCAGGCTGAGGCTGAGGCTGAGGCTGAGGCTGTGGCCGAGGCAAGCTGCGGCTGAGGCAGGCTGAGGCTGAGGTTGATGCAGGCTGAGGCTGAGGCAGGCTGAGGCTGAGGCTGAGGCAGGCTGAGGCTGAGGCTGAGGCCGAGGCAGGCTGAGGCTGAGGCCGAGGCAAGCCGAGGCAGGCTGAGGCTGAGGCTGAGTCTGAGACTGAGGCAGGCTGAGGCTGAGACAGGCTGAGGCTGAGGCTGAGGCTGAGGCAGGCTGAGGCTGAGGCAGGCTCAGGCTGAGACTGAGGCTGAGGCTGAGGATGAGGCCCAGGCAGGCCAAAGCTGAGACAAGGTGAATCTTAAAGGGAATGCTTCCAGATATGCTTAGACACATCGCTGTTAGGTTGCTTTGCCGGGATCATTACCTAACAGCGAAGACTGATAGGTTTCTAGTGGGCTCAAAAGGGAGCATCTTGACTCCTCAGGCGGGTCTGGGCGGGTGCCGGGAGAAGGCAGGGAACCCGGGGACTCCCCAGGACTCTTATAGATTCCTATAGTTTCCTATGGATTCCTATTCTTCGTGCTCCCAGAACACCATTCACAGGCTACATTTTGAATGCCTGGAGCCAGCTGAAGGCCACTTCGTGTTCTTCGTCTTCCCAGAACACCATTCCCAGGCCACATTTTGATGAATCCCCGGAGCCAACTGTAGGCCACTTCGTGTTCTTCGTCTTCCCAGAACACCATTCCCAGGCCACATTTTGAATGCCCGGAGCCAACCGTAGGCCACTTCGTGTTCTTCGTGTTCCCAGAACACCATTTCCAGACCACATTTTGAATGCCCGGAGCCAACTGTAGGCCACTTCGTGATCTTCGTATTCCCAGAACACCATTCCTGTACAACGTGATCTTCGTGTTCCCAGAACACCAGTCCTGTGCCATATTTTGAATGCCCGAGCTGAGGCAGGCTGAGGCCGAGGCAGGTTGAGGCCGAGGCAGGCTGAGGCTGAGGCTGAGGCACGCCGAGGCAGGCTGAGGCTGAGGCTGAGGCAGGCTGAGGCTGAGGCAGGCTGAGGCTGAGGCTGACGCAGGCTGAGGCCGAGGCGGGCTGAGGCTGAGGCTAAGGCAGGCTGAGGCTGAGGGTGAGGCTGAGGCTGAAGCTGAGGCTGAGGCTGAGGCTGATGCAGGCTGAGGCTGGGAGGCTGACGCTGAGGCTGCGGCAGGCTGAGGCTGAGGCTGAGTCCGAGGCAGGCTGAGGTTGAGGCTGAGGCACGCCGAGGCAGGCTGAGGCTGAGGCTGAAGCTGAGGCAGGCTGAGGCTGAGGCTGAGGCTGTGGCTGAGGCTGAGGCAAGGCTGCTGAGGCTGAGGCTGAGGCTGAGGCTGAGGCTGAGGCTGAGGCTGATGCTGAGGCTGAGGCTGAGGCTGAGGCTGAGGCCGAGGCAGAGGCCGAGGCAGGCTGAGGCTGAGGCCGAGGCAAGCCGAGGCAGGCTGAGCTGAGGCTGAGAGCTGCAGGCTGAGACAGGCTGAGGCTGAGGCTGAGGCTGAGGCTGAGGCAGGCTGAGGCTGAGGCCTGAGGCTGAGGCCGAGCAGGCTGAGGCTGAGCAGGCTGAGGCTGAGAGCCGAGCAGCCGAAGCTGAGACAAGGTGAGGCTGAATGGGGGGGGGAAGGGGGGGGAGAGGAGGGGGGGCTGAGGCA